AATGATGAGAGAACTTGAAATATACTGAGGATTCTCTACAGATGGGTATGTTTGAAAGATGCGATCATTCAGTTTAAAGGTGAAATGACACTGCAGCTGAGGCTTGCCTCTGAAGGATGCACGCTACAAGATGTCATCTGAGACTTAATCTTCTCTGAAAGCTGGGGCTTTTCATCACCCTAATGTATTTTAAGTGCAGGGACTGAGTCTTATCTTTCTGAACACATACAGATTAAAATGACGGATTTATATTTGCTCAGCCAAAAAAAACAAAAAAAAAAACCCTGAAAAATGGAGGCTTGTACAGCGTGATGATACTGTCATTTGTATGAGAGATTAGCGGTTTAACAATCTGTTAAGGACCGGAAAAGACACATTATGTTCTGCTATAGAATCTAATTACAAACTTTGTGATGCAGCATTAGATCACTGGCTAAAACAAATTCCTGCTCACAGGGTGCCAGTCTTAGTCGGTTGTAGAGGGATTTGCTCTTCCCTCATATCACCTTTTGAACAGGGTCCCTCATTTTATACATCCCTGAAGCCTTCCATCAACAAACTGCTTGCTATTCATGCCAAATGTTCATTATGACCCCCCATGTATCTTTTACGATAGATCTCATCTCATTCAGCGACCCGTTTTCACAACCAAGTAGATCAACAATAGCCATTGCCTGTTGCTTTGGCTTTTGCAGCTGAGCCAGAAGCAGCCATGATGAGCTCCTTATGCGTAAAGAGCTGAAAAGCTTTTAATCCACTTTCAGGTCATTCCACTGCTAATTCGCATGTTGCACCAGGGGATGAAGATCTCAAATACTGTGTTCACCTCTGAGCGCTTTCTCTGTCTCTCTCCAACAACTTACCAGGCTATCTGATTAATTGGTGTTCACTTAGTCATTAATTTAATACTGGTTTGAGGAGTCGCTGTTTACATCAAGTGCAGTTTGCTCACTGGTTAGATGCCTCTGGATAAATACCCTGGAGCTACTCTGTTTAATTGCTCATCAACTTTAATGCATGTTCCAAGCAAATAATCACAGAGCAGTGGGGAGATGTGCTGACGTCTGCGGCTACAAAGATGCATAGAAACTACAAAGAGGCATAGAAACTTAATGCAGGTCTTACCCCTCGGTCCCAGCCTGATCAGGGTTAGCAGGTGTGGCTGTGGTGGCCGGGGCTGGGGCTGGGGCTGGGGCAGCTGCAGGGGCCGGGGCCGGGGCAGCTGCAGGGGCTGGGGCTGGTGTGGGATCTGGGGCTGGTGTGGGAGCTGGGGCTGGGGTTGGAGCTGACTCTGAAAAAGGATATTTTATTTACCATCATATTAGATCTGAGATAAACATTTCTGCTTCATTACTTTTTAATAATTCACAAAAAACACACAGACAAAACAACTTGATAATCTAAGATTGCTATTCAAGATGCTTAAGATAAGATAAGAATAAAATAAGAATGACTATAGTGTTACTATAGGCGGCTACAGATTTGTTTAACATTTTTGGTTGGTGGTGTGCCTCGTGATTTTTTCTATGAAATAATTTACCTTGGCTCAAAAAAGGTTGAAAAACACTGATCTAAGTAATAATGTTTGACCAACTAAACTGTATCCACCTCCACACTAAAAGAGCTCACATTTCCAGTGTGGTGAAGGCTTATAAATGAATAGACAATCTGACTGGTTGGCGTCTGGGCCTAACTGGTGTTTTTGTCATCTGTGATAGAAACAGAGCACTTTTCCATGTCTATTTGAACCTCTTAAACACAGAAAGTAGCAATAACTAACCAGCATTGTGCTGGTTTGATAGAATCTGCCTTGTAGACAGAGACAGGGGAGGAGCCAAAAGGTGGCCATGGTCATAAGGATCTTCAGCTTAACCCCTGTGGCCACCAACTATAACCAACAGATATAACATCTAAAGCTTGAATTCTCAACTTTTAAAGTCTCTTAAACACCAAACTATACTCTATCATCAACTATCATCTGTGTTACCAGATTTTGGGCATACAAAACAGCACTTGAATAAATGGCAAAATTTCACCCGAGCAACAAGACAAAGCGCACCAGTGTTGACGGAGGAGACATTTTGTTTCCCCTTGACCCTTTAACATCTACACTTTGATAAAAGGGCCAGAGATTCCATTTCTTTAGACCAACAACAACTTTTTATTTCTCACACAGTTAGAGTGAGACTTTATGGTAAAAGTGTGACATTTTTCAAAAGAAATGTCATAACTCGTGCTAAATTTAGGCTTCGCATCCCTAAAGTTAATTTCAGAGCTAGTTTAGGTAAGTTTGTGCAGGATGTTAAAGGGTTAAAATTGCTATACAAAACTGTTGGGTTTTTAAATATGTAAGAATAGATTATTATGTTGTAATGCTAGGTCAGCAGTTCTCTACTCACTTCACTTTAGCGAATCAGAGTGAGCCCTGTCACTAACAGAAATTACCCTAAAGTTGATGCTGCTGGAGTCCAAAACTGATGACGAGGACCACGTTAACACATCGGAGTGAGATCAATGTCTCCAAACAGGCTCCCACTGACTATTTGAAGGTCCGCAGACCTGGGCCTCTAAAGGTGTGTGGCGACAAAAAAATTCTTCAAGTCGTTGTAGCTGGACGGAGACCAAACCGATATAGTTTAATCTGAAATAGTGGCTGAACGTATCGCAACACAATCAGATGGATTTAATTTGTCTGACCAATTCTCGCGCCTCCCAAGCAAACAAAAAGTTTATCATAAGTGTTTGAGGCTTTTGAAAAAATACAGACATACACAAAATGACCTAAGAGCAGCTGCAGTCACAGCTTAGATGGCATGTAAAAAATATTTCTTTACATTGGGAATAGACGCTGAGCATTAGCCATAATATGTCTGCGGGTAGGAGCCTGCTTGAGTAAACAAAAACGTAATGTCACAGCAAGTGAAAAGAATATTTTTTTCATCCTGCCACATGTTTTTTTCTTTCTTCCAGGTAAGGCTAACATAAGTATTCCAACCTCTCCAGTCAATCTACACAGTCGCTGAAAACTTACCCTGTGGTTTGTCATCTTTCTTGGCTTCATCCTCCTTATCAGCTGGTTTTTCCTCCTGCATGACAAATCAACATTTTTCACAGTCAGATTCTTGGCTCCACTAACAACACCACGGACATCAAAGAGACATAACGGGTGAGATTACTCAATCTAGCAAACTCACTCCTGATCACATTTGAAACAAGCTGTGTTTGAAACTATAAAAATTCCAAGTAGCATATTAAGATTTTTTCTTTCAAACAGTTGGAATAACACTATTTTGTTGGTTTCTTTTTGTCATTGATGGCCGAGAATAATGAGCCACGGAATGAATGGGGCTGATAGACGAGCCAATGCTTGGGTCCAAGGAGAAGAAAATTTGCCTTCTGTTATGCCGGATTCCACACCTCCGTTTTTATGATTATGTTTGATTTCAGGACTTCGGCTGCCACTGGCACAATGTGAAACCCATGAAAGTTTTAACTACCATCATAAAAAAATAAAATAAAAAAATAAATAAAAAAAGGGGATAGGGGGTTCAATCAGCTTTAAAAACACACAACTATTCCATTCTCAAAGGAAAATTGTATGCATAAATGGACTTACCGTGGACGGAGCTGGATTTGGAGCAGGTGGAGCTGGAGCTGGAGCTGGAGCAGGAGCTGGAGCTGGAGCTGGAGCTGGAGCTGGAGCCGCTTCAGCTGCTGCCTTCTTGGTCCCAGAATCTGTTGGCACCTGGGGTCCTGCGAAGAGGCCCTTCAACTTGGAAAACATGTTCAGAAACCTAAAGGTTCATCCGTTAGCGTCCCGGCTTGGTGTAGAAGTGTTCTTTGCTGCGACCTAAGGAGCTAAATGATCCCTGCTGAGGCTTGACCCTCTGTTATTAGTTGCCCCCCCTTCTCCTCTCCACCTGCTCTAAAGCAACGTGTCCTCATAACTAGGCTGGCCCTCATGGCATTACTGTATTTAGCACCACTAATACTCTCGCACAGAGCATAGTCCGCACCATCTACTACTGCCATGTAAACCCATCACCACCTCATTTTAGATTCAAATAGGCTTATGGGTGACAGATAAGGTAGTGAGGATACATGTATACAGACCACAAGCATGATGCATTCTCAAAGCTTGGATTGCCAGTGGAGGCTACAAGGTGTTTTGTTGTTTTCTACAGATATAGAGCTGGTTGCATAGTTTATTTCACTATATCTCTCTCTGTTTTATTTCTGGTTTGGCATTACTTGTTCGGCATGACGTGGTACTCAAGATTTCAGTTCTGTTGCCAGAAAGCTGAAACGGACAATGTTTTTTGTTTTTTTAAAGTCCTCAAACTTTAAGAATTGATGGATTATAACCTCGGCTGAAACAACACAGGAGTCCTGAGGGAATGTAATCAGTCAAAGAGCTTATGAAGCATGTGCAGTGATAGATCACCCCGTGCAATGATTTGTGGGCTCACTCACAAGCACCTGACTCAAATCAATTAATAAGTGTGGAGCAAAAGGTGAACATGCTGAGATGGGACACTTCCTTCCTGTTGTTATCAGTGGAAAGATCTTCCCCTGTGCATGGATGAGTGTGACCACGGTAAACAGGCAATTTGTAGCCGTGGAAAAAAGAAATTGTGGCTTTCTTTAAAGTCTGTCAGAACTGTCAAGCTGCTTGTGGTTTGAACCCTATATCTATATATCCATATCTATATCTGATGGTTGTGTTATCTTCTGATCTTTTAGAAAAAATAAAAATAAACAAAGCTGTATATAAAAATATGTATCAAAGAAACCAAATAAGTATAATTTGTAATCTATATATATAGATTACCTATTGATACATATAAACATTCAAAAGATAATTATTATATACATAATCCATTAACATACACTTAAACCAGTGTATTATACAGAAGATAAATAAACAATAACAAAATAAAACAAAAAAAACAAAAACAAAAAATAGATCCAATAAAACCTAGCTATAGTTTACAAAAATGGCCATATATCTTTATCCTACGAGGAAGTATTAGGGCCACCTTTAATTTTTTTTCTTTTTTTATTAATTACGAGATCAAAGTCATTATTAAATATGGCGAGAATTTATTGCAAGATGAAAATCGTTACATAAATATGGGGAGAATAAATTACAAGACTGAAGTCGTTATTAAATCTGGCAAGAATAAATTATGAGAATAAAGTCGTAAATATTCTACCCTGTTTTAGAGGAGGGGAGTTGATAAAAATGAGGGCTGTGGAGCATTTGGTGGAAATTAACTTTAGAATAGGTTTAACAAACAAGGAGACACTTAATCTTTTGGCACATCAGCAACAGGTCGTCATAAGTATCAGGACGTAAACAGCAATATGCTAGAAAATTGTTGGGCTTCTGTAAATAACTTTAGTGTAGGGTCCGACCGGGTCTTTTTGGAAAGTACTGTGAGATAACTGTTCTTGTGATTTGGTGCTGTATAAATTAAATTGAATTGAAAAATAAAAAAGCAACGTTTCCGCAGATAGAACCAGGTGGACTTCTCATCATATGATTTTAATCTCGTAAGAAATTCCCTCCCCCAAAAATAATTTAAAAAATTTAATCCGGCCCTGATAGTACGTCGTAATATTAAAAAAGAAAAAAAATCTATCTATATATACAAAATGTTTTGCAACTGATAATTTGTATTTACCCACTAGTTGTGTTATGGTTATGGTTAAGACAAGTAGTGGGGGGCTTCTTGTGACTCAAAACTGAGAAGAAGTGTTTGGTCACAAGAGCTGAATTGTGGAGAATTTCTCAAAAGACTAAAATAATACATGTTTCCAACAGTTTCCCACTACAAACAATGGGCTCAAACTTGGTTAGGCCTGTTAAAAGGAAGTTTTTCCTTGCCTGTGTCCCTAGTGCTTGCTCATGGTGGGAATTGTTGGGTTTCTGTAATTAACTTCAGAGTAGGGTCTGACCTGCTCTGTTTGGAAAGCGCTGTGAGACAACTGCTGTTGTGATGTGGCGCTACATAAATACAATTTAATTGAATTGAATAAATACAAACGACATGCATGCTGGGACACTGGAGGAATCAATCCAGTTTGTGGAGTGGGACTGAAGCTATGCTGTAAGAAATCAATAATCAATGACAAGCAAAACAAGTGAGGAGATGACCGTGAGCCGGTGGAGACCAGTGGCTGGCCACAAGCTGAGACTCAGCCAAGGCGAAATGACAGCCTTAAAGGTCCTGAGCCAAGGGAGCCAAGTGGTTGCCAGGTTTTCCGGTAACGCCCACAAGCTCCCGGCACACCTCTGCTATTGGCTTGCCTCTTATTTACCTTCTGGCTAAAATGTGGGCAGGGCTAGTTATCTTACCCCCTAAGTGATGAGTCAGTGGAAAGCTGAGTCACATCCAGCCCCTTTAACGCTGTGACAGCTTACTCAAAGAGAATCTCTTAATCCACAGAAGAAAAAAAAGAGAAAAAATTAATTGAACCAAAATCATCAGATTTTTTTTCTTCTCACAGACTTTGATATTTCTCATTTGATCAAATTACTTTTGGTCTTTCTTGGGCTTGTCATTTGCTGGTCCTTTTTTGTGCCTTTTCTATCCACCAGAGGTCCACAGTCTCATTCTCTGTAATATTCCACTTGCCAAACTAATCCCACCTCAGATTCAGAACATTTTCACTTGCTGCCTCTAATTTCTAAGGAGGCGATCTAAGTGTTCTGTAATTGTTTTTACTTCTGGGTGCAGGCACCGGACCCATTTAATGTGTAAATTGGCATCGGAGTTGATTTCCAGTCTGGAATGAAGGAGATTTCTGTGTGGCAAGTGACGTACAGCACCTGAATGAGTCATCACCTCAACTGATGTGATGCACAGCTGGTGTCGCTATAGGACTCCAGCTAATGGCAGCGTATCATAAGACATGCACCTATGCTCAAATTCAAGCTACATTCACAGAAAACTCATCTTTAAGTTGAAAAAGCTTCTCAATTCTCCTCTGCATTCTTCATACTGACGTTGCGTGCTGTAAGAACACGAATTTAAGTCGAGAAAAGTCCAATTAAATGTTCTTTTGACTGAAGTTAACAGTACACAATGTTTGTGAGTGAGTGTAAGAATTGGGGACTGTGTGCCATGCTGTGGACGGCAGCCTTGAACGGTAAAAGAGCACAGTGCTGATCATTACCTGTCCTGAACCATAGTTTTTGTCTCTCCTGATTAAAAGGGACATAAACCTGTAACTTTCCGGGCAGCAGCCCTTCCTTCCGTCTCTCAACCGTGGCGGCCCAAATTGGCTCCACCATTCGGGATGTCTTAACTTCCTTCCTTTATCCTGCCCTCGGATGGCATTGGCTGCTGAATGCCGATTTCAACCGAACTTTCATCTTTTCTGCTGGCTTTTGAATAAGTGTGAATAATCAAGCCTCTCGGCAAATATCCCTGAAATCCTCGAGGACTTTGGGGATGCTTGAGCCATCGTTATATTACCAGACAAGAGAGCGAAATCCATTTTTCTTCCCCCTTCCCAAGTTAGTATGACTCATGGGCCCTTGTTTTTTTTTCCCCAATTCTTTCCGCAGCTGTGTAGGCAGAGAAATCCAGACAGCAATTCACATCTTCTATGTGTGACATCAGAATACAGTCCTGGTTGGAATTTGTGTGAGATATGTGGCTCTTCGGTGTAAAGATGGACTCTCTAGCCAATTAATGGCCCAAATGTCTGTCATTCCTTTAGCTAAATAGATGTCATTTCATCAGTTTTCTCGGATAGAAGAGCTGTCAGATGCCTTTTCAGTGGGCACTGGCAATCATAAAAAATTCATATGCATGATGTATGTATTTATTGCTGCCTGTAAAATGTCAAATGGGACCTTTTATTGATTTTCAATAAAGTTCTTATCTTTGAAAGTAAGTGTATGGGCATCTTTGCACTTTTACAACACTTGCCGATTTCATACACTGCAAAAAATAAATAAATAAATATATATTTCCATCTTGTTCAGGCTTTTCCTGGTGATGTGTTGACTATCATTGGGGTTGTATCATATAATAAATAAGTGGAGCTCTGCTAATTGCCCCAAAATAGATGTTTCAATGTTTACTGACACATTGGTTAATACATTTGGCTTATAAGTAAGTGCTGATTTATAAGTTCTCAGTCCTGCATGCTGAGAGCTGCGTTTCCACAAGCTACCAAATGAGGGCAGAACATAACTTTGTATGACCCCTCTTTACTTCTGTCCTCAACAGATGATGAAAGTGTTTTCATTAGAATCACCCAGATGCTGCTGAGAATTACTCTCAGCTCCGAGAAAGACACCAAGATGACTTATGAGCAGCTTAAAGACAGCAACATCTGGTGCCACCGCAGAACTTGTCCCAGGAAAATAGATGGCTTCTAATTGGAAAATCCCTGAGAATGATTGCTTATCATCTGATCCTTTGTTGATGAGGCATTTTTCACACTGTGACTATTGACACAGATTTCAAACAGTAGATGTGGTTTTTCAGTTAATGATCTTATCAGACGGCATGGGACAGAGGAGACATAAATTAGCCAAAAATGTCTCTTTTAGGCTCCATTAGCGGTAATATCATCATTAGCATTAATCTTTAATGGATAGGCCATAAGTATTTGTGCTTCAACTCTTAGTTTAAAGGAGACTGAGAGGAGGAAGGAAGCAGAGGGACATTTGTTTTTATGACTTCATCTTTTAAGTTGAGTGTGCTGCAGAGAGCACTGAGGTGCGTCCTTAAGCGGGTCCATGTGGTTGGGTTAAATGTCTGGCTAGTGTACGTGTGCATAAATGAAGGCAGCAATTAGCAGGGTTTTGATTTAGACTGCACTGTCACGTTTCCTTCTGTCAAAACAGTGAGGCTTCGGGGAGGCTGGGGTTTTCCAGCAGCTCAGGTATGTCGGGCACTTCATGACTGGGTGGACAGGTCACCTTTAGCTGCGGATATAATTCCACTCCAGCTTTTCTTATCATTGTCTCAAATCAGCTTTCTACGGTCTGATTTTTCGAAAACATGGGAAAGTTCAAAGCGCCGTGAACGATTTTATTCAAGGATTTTAGTTCCAGATCCTGATTTCTATCAGACTGGTTAGATTTTGCCTGTTGTGCTTGTCGTGGAGTGGACTGATCCAATTTTGTGTTGCAGTGAAAATGGACGACATGAGGAAAGGTGTGTGTGGAGTGGAAGCAGAGTGGAGGACAGAGGGATGTGTAGACTGGAATAGGAAAGAAGGAATGATGTATAGACTGAGAGGGGAAGGAAAAAGGGGATGTTGATTGAATAGGGAGGAAAATTTATTGACTTTGAAGGGGGAAAGTGTGAAGGATGGGGGGGAAAGGAACTATGGATTGGAAAGGGATGGAAAAAGGCTGTAAGGATATATCGATTTGATCAAAGAGAGCAGGATGAGGGATAAGGAAGGACTATAGATGGAAGGATGAGATAAGGATTTGATGGGACAGTAAATTAGGTGGCAAGAATATAGGGATGTGAAAAAGAGGGAAAAGATGAAGGGAGGGTTTAGCAACTTGAGAAATGCAAAGAAGAAAAAAGGGGAATGGAACTGATAAGAATTAACAACAATAAATGGCTAATAAGAGGAAGGAACGAAGACAGGATGGAGGGGAAGAAAGAGAGTAGTCAAGAGGAAAATCATAGATTCACATCACAGAGATTGCTAAAAAAGAAACGGCCGTCAAATTGATCAGTGCTGTCTGAGATATGACAAGTAGATGCTCTCCCTTTGACACTGTGATCATTTCTCATGAATGTTAACAGCCCAATTTCCTTTTTTTCTATTTTTTTTATATCGCCGCCTTGCACGCCCCTCAGCACCAATCACATCTTACATGACAAGGCTGTCAGCCAGCATTAGGGCACAGGTTTCATCATTCCAACACTTTGAGCCTGACAATGGTCAACTGTTGCTGAAAAAATATCATTCTCATGGTTGACACCTCCTGAATCTGTCACGTTGACGGAGGTAGAAAAGGCGTCGGAACAACCGCCAGAAGACAAAAGCTAAAAAAGAATAACAATAATAAAACAGCCAGACAACATTAGGCATTAAATAATAGAGCCTACAGCACCGAGCAGCAACAATGAAAGCGCCTCACATTTATAAAAAAAACAACAACATTAGCTTTGAGTGCTGTTAAATATTGGATTTATTTTTGGGGAACAGAAACTATTTCGGGGGAAACGGTGACTGAAGGCAACAGCTTCCTGGAATCCCTTTGTCAGGACACAGTTGCCCTGACACCGGCATGAACTCCAGGAAGTCGCTGTACCACTGTGCGCTAACAAACAGTCACAGCTCATGAGCAGCAGTTTCACATCTAACTCTCTCGGTAGGTCTTTTTTTCTATTCTTTTCCTACTTTTTTTCTATTCTTTTCCTACTGAAAACTAAAGCATGTATTTTTTTATGCTAGTGGCACAAGCTTTACTCTATCGCTCCGCTGAAAACAAGTTTTTAATTCTGACCACCCTGCATTCTGTTCACTCTTAATAGCAGATGATAAAGGGCAGTTAGATAGAGGCATCTGGCCAATTCATAGCAAAAATAAAGGAAACAAAACAACAAAACTTTGAAGTTTGAACCACTTTTCAAGCAGCTTGGTTTGTTAAAAATGCCAGATGTGTAGTTATAATGCAATATGTTTTATCCCTTTTCTTAATACTCAACATTTTAATGTCATTGTTGGATTACTGCCTACAAAGAGTGGGGATTTGATACCGCTGTGGTCTGAAATAGATTTTGGGAGGAAATGAAGGAGGAAGTTTGTCCACACATATGCTCCCTAGCTTATCAAACATCTTCTGGATAGTTTGATGTTTTTATCTGAACTTGGTGCGGCATTGAAAGCCGTTTCGTTCCATTCCCAGCAGTGGATGCCCTGGAGTTTTTATCCGCCGTCTGATCACAAAAACACATGCATCGCGTATGCAAAAGCGAGTGGAGGAAGCTGAAGGTTAATTAAAGGTGTGTCTTCCATCTCGTCTCGTGCCACTCGCCACAGATGGAGACGCTGATAGCATCCTCCCTTTTCCTCTCCTTTCACATCGCATTTTGGCCTCGCAGATGCCTCTTGGTCCAGAGCCACTTCCTCTGGATAAGAGTCACCGCAGCTACAATCTTGACATCGAGGTTCGTTTTCCCAGCTGCAATTTGTGTGCGTGTGTGTGTCTGTGTGAGCTTTTGCGATAAATACAGGAGAGACTTTGTGAGACAGAGAGCGCATTTAAGATCATGATAACTCAACCCACTCTTGACATCAAAATGAACTCCAGGTGAAACAGACATGGGGATAAATGAAGAAAAACTCAGCTCAGAGCCGAAAGAGTCATGCAAAAAAAAAAAACTCTTGTGTCGGAAGATGGATGATCACATTTCAAAATGCTCTTGAAGTCCTTCCACAGCATTTAAATTAAAGTAAAGTCTGGACTTTGATTTTCTGGTGGATTCTTCTGCTAAAATTGATATCATTTTCATATTGTGAGACTCAAGCTCTAGATTTTAGATAGATGGTCTCACATTTGACACTAACATACTTTGCTTCACTGATTAGTTCATGGCAGAATGTCCATATGCAGCCCTCCACCACCATGCCTGACTATTGGTATGAGGCGTTTGTCCTTATGTGAAGTCTTTTTTTGTTACTAATGCAGTGCAGTGATTCACCAGAGCAACCATTTCCATCTCCAGTAAAAACAAAAACAACTAATCATTTTGTACATTATTTTGAGGGGAGGGGGGCTGTGGCAAAGGTAATGTTAGCTTGCCAAAAGCCTCTACACTTGCAACAACATTTTCCATCTTCCACTAATCTCTGTGCCTTATGGATTATAAATATACAGTTCAAAAATCACTAAGGTGATTAATGATGAATCATTAAGGTTCTATGCTTTTTTTGGTAACTGGTTACTGCCACCTCCTCTTCTATTAGCGCCTGAGCAGATGAGACATGTCAATATGGGGACCCACATACCATCTAGTGGTAAAAAGATGTATTACAGTACATTCGTAGGTACTCAGTCATTCAGGTCATGGTAATCCTAAAAGACTGAATAAGAAGAACTGTCTTCTTTTCGTATCTTTGCCTCTCATCTAAAAGGCTTCTTCAGTTCTGAACTACATTATGAGGAGTATCAGCGTTTAAGATAAGAGGATCATTACAAACAGTCCACAGTGCCGTTTGCAAATAGTAATGCAGCATGAAAGAACAGGGACAAAATTTATTCTAATTCAATTTATCCATCCATCCATCCATCCATCCATCCATCCATCCATCCAACCATCCATTATCGTTACCGCTTAGTCCCTAATGGGGTCGCGGGGAGAGCTGGAGCATATCCCAGTGGTCAATGGCCGAGAGACAGGGTACACCCTGGACTGTCCGCCAGTCCATCGCAGGGCCATAGTTCCATTTATGTGTCAAGAAATTTAAAGGATCTTCTCCAAACATGACATTCCAGTGCACTTCAAACTTCATGAACAGTTTGAGACAGATGTTAGTTCAATGGAAACTGGCTATCCACTCCCGGGAAGATCAGAAACTGGACTCCAGACCTCGGCTTTGCATGGTCACTCACCTGAATGATCTAAACCAATCCATTTTTCTCTCTCATGATTTTTTTGCACATGATTATGAAATAATTGTCTTAAAATGACCAAATTTGGTCTTAGGCTGATGTTGAAATGGTGCACCTTCCCACTCTGTCTGGAAGACTGATACTAAGAGGATGAAAGAGAATTGCAGATATATATGTATGGCCCCAATAAATAAACCAATACATATAGTTCAAATATATTAAAGCATAACAAGTGAGACATCTTTTTGTATTTTTCTTTGATTTCCAGACCTGATGAGGTATCTTCTTACCCATGCATTTAATTCTGATTTGACTGTTTTTTATAATGATTTTTCCAATGTTTGTCCTTTATTTATAGATGCATTTATATCTCTTTTAGGATAAATGTGCATCTGCTGTCTTTCACCTACTGCAAAAATAAGAAAGGAAAAACATTTCTGAGTAGAATAGAAAGCCTTTTTTGTCATTGAGTGACTTGCAGACAAAGAAATTATGAAGGTTAATTAGATAAATATAAACCATTATATTTAGGAAATACATTTATATTAAATTATTTCTCTTACTTTTAAATGAATGGGTATGAATATATTGATGTGAATATTTTAAGTGGAATGATTTAATCATTTGATTTTATCATTCATTTTGTCAGTGTCAGTCCCCAATATTGATGCATATCAACATATCTGCTGTGGAGTTATATCCATTTTCTTTTATTTCTGTAAAATGTTAGAGTGATCCAATTTGATTGATGAAATGCACTTGACAAGGCTGTCTATCTTTAAATTCTGCATTCTTTAACTTGTTAGATTGCATTCAGGCGGCAGCGATGGAAATGAATAGTAGGCAGACTCTTAAACACATTACTCTTTAGAAATGGCAATCTCAGACTCTCCCCCCTCTCTCACCATCTTTGTTTGTGATGATTTATGATGAAGAATCTACAACAACATTTGGGAATTTCTAAAGATGTGGGGCAAGTTTTAGTTTCTTGAGATGTTTTTGTGCTGCTGTTTATTGTTCTCTTGACTAACGTCCCATGGTAACCACCCGCTGTAATTATTTTCGGTTTGTTTCAAAAGAAACGGGAGATGTAAACACGTCTCTTCCTGTGAGCTTTGGTTCGCCACACAAAACCACCCAAACACGAAGAGCCCCAATTACACTCATTGTTCTCCGAGACCACAAGCATTTATATATGTTGAAAGCAAGTAATGTTAAAGCACAAAAACTTGGATTTTTCAAAATGGTGTATTACAGTACACTGGCAGGGGGTAATATAATAATACATCATGTACTTTTGTGCATTGAGGCCAATGAATGCAGTAAATACAAAAAACAAGAGGTTGCACAAAATTCATTATCCTCATTTTCATAGTTTTTAATCCTTAAAATTAGGTGGAATTTTGGATTGTATTGATAATTAGACTTTTAAAACAGAGCAAAGGCATTCAGGGTGTGTGTGTGTGTGCGTGTGTGCGTGTGTAAGCAAGAGACAGAGAGCCTGGTTTAATGCAAAGATACAGTACTGCTGACCTTATGTAACATTCAAGTGCATTGCCTTTTTCTTTTTTCTTTTCCTCACTTGTGCCTGCTGCCCCAACAGATTCTCGCTTCCAGAGAGGCAGGGAGTCCAAATAATATGTATACACACACATACACACACACAAACAGACAGACGCACACACACACACACACAAGCACACTCTCTCTTTCCTGTTCCCACGAGAGCCTGACAGTGTGCCAGACAGGAATTGCATACATTGTCCTCCTGCTGGGACGCAGCACTTGTCCCTTCACCTCCACCACGTGGGACCCTGTGTGGTTTGTGGGACAGGATGGATGCCCATCCCCGCCGCTTTGGTGTAGCAGCCAGCGTGACCAAATTTCTCGATGCGCCACTCAGAGGGCCCCGCGGCTTGTTTTCCGAAGGAAGACGAGACTCCACCTGGTTTGCCAGCACTCCCACACAGTTTTTGTCTGTTTTCCTTAGTTCCATTTCCTCTTTCCAACTATTCTGACATCAGGACTGGTAGATGAACAAACAAAGAAATAACAGTTTCCTCTCTATTCTCTGGCTACCGCCATGGCTAAGCTCATTCAATTGTGTTTTGCCAAGGTTTTAATCAGTTTTTGCCGCAACTTTCACCTCTAAAACCATTAATCAAAATTATTATCTGCAGTGAGGGAACTCTAATCGCTGTCCAGTGGTAATGAAGGGAAGGGGAAAGCCCAGAAAATAATCATTGGAATACTCAAGTCAATCTTTTGGCCTTTTTTTTCTTAAAGGATAGCCCTTCCAAGAGTTTTAAAAAAAAAACTAGTTTCATAGTGGCTGAATTCCAAATGTTTCAGCTCCAAGGCCTAAGGCCTTCTCCCTGAGATGGTTTTGAACCCGCGCATCATTTTAAATCCGTGTTTACTCATTCTTCCGAATCCATACGGGCCTCTACCTTCCGAAAAGCTCTGACTCAGACAAACAGAAACCCATGGCTTTGCAGATGCACCCGGAATGTTTGTTTTTCTGAGGTAGGGGCTATGATAGCAAAGTTAGGATGGTTCCGTTTGAAGTTGATGAGTAGCAGATGGTAACACAGACTTCAACACCACATAATGATAAATGTCACCAATTCAGGACTTTGCAGGGATGTATTTTTTGGATTATTACAATCATATTTTCTATTTCCTGGGAAAACATTTGTTTTTCTAATTTCTTCCCAACTATGGGGTGAATAATGGGTCTCTGGGGTCATCTGTAAACGGCAAGTTCAACAGTTACTACAGAAAAAGGCATCCATCGGACATCACTGGTAGAAATAAATAAATAAATGCTGGTTATGGTATTTGTGATTTGAATTAATTTACTGCTGTGATGTCAGATCAGCTTATGGCTGAATACATTTCTCTTAAACTTTAAGTATAGTTGCCATTGACTACATGTATACAATTTTATGATGACTCACATATTCTGTGATCATTTGTCATATCTGGGAAATCAACGATGTATCACTTGTTTTACATTTTTGTGGGTAAATAGCTTGTGCCATGCTTGCTTTAAGGGCGTCGAGTGCTATCTACAATACAACCGCTGGGGTTTCTTCTGTCGAGAACTTGAGGGCAACAAAGCGATGGAGTGCTTCTGTTTGCATCGCGTAAATCCTGATGTCTCAGTGCTCAGGTCAGGTGCACTCCCTTTTGGAATCCTCTGGTGACAAGAGCACAACACCGGGAATCATGTGAATGGGTATGCTGGGGAAACATCAAGCCGAGCTGATGGTTGCCTGACTGAATATGAAATATTTGCAAAGAAAAGACGCAACCTGAGGAAGCCTTGACATTAACTTTGATGGAATGTTTCACTTGCTCAGTAGCCAAACATGTCTGTTACGCAAAACAAAGGCATATGGAAACATCACCACGCACATTTCAGAACCTTAGAATAAGAGAATATAACAAGAGCACAGAGTTCATCCATGTTTAGAGACTTTTTTTTATTATTACCGTCTCTGCCTTAAACATGAAGCCACTCTGGTTTTGGTTTGGGTTAGGGTTAGATTGCGGGTTAGGGTTTGGCTCGCTCGTTCTTCTCGTGTGAAACTGTCTGGTCAGTGGCCGGTCAAAAGCTCTCTGCTTGTTTGCAGTAGATGGAAATTTTGCAAATTCAATGGGAATGATGGCACATATGTTGACTCCTCACCTATGCTAACATTTAGTGTTGTGTCCTCCGTGGGGGAGCTTTAGGGAGCGCTAGTGTTCAACTGGGAAAAAAATGGTTTCTATAGGTCAACCATAAAACCGCATGTCACTTTGCACAGGAGCTACTACAGTTAGTATCAACTCTAAAGGGTTAAGGTTAGAATTTTAGACCTTTTGGTCACAAAGTTTGCTATCATAAGCAAAACGCAAGAGGCGTCCGGTAAAAGAAAAGACTAACCAAAGGCCTTACCAAAGTATAGAGTTTAAGACAATAAAGTGGACTATTTTATATAATAAGAACTAATTTGGCCCGGCAAACACACAGATAACCAAGAACAAAAAAACCAAGAGGTAAAGACGTAAACATTTTATTGAGAACACATATTCCAAGAAAAAACAACACAACACCGGTGTGTGGCAACCAGTAACAGGAAGAGAAAGTAGTCTCCTCACCAGAGATGTAATGCACTTATCAGGTCTTTCAAACAACAGTCTGCACTGTTGCACATGCTGTTTTTGCAGGAAACAATGTGCTTAGTGAGGCAACTCGTGTTCCTCAAAGAACAAGCCTACTGTCTTTGTGTTGAACACAGCAGAATATTAAAGCAGGCACACTCTCTCTCTCTCTCTCCTTTTCTTTCACTCTCTCACACATTAAGACTCACACAACCATATGGCGAGGATTCGTTTCCTGACTTTCAGGTTGGCCTGGCAGATGATTCCGCTCTTCTTAAAGCCATCTATTATCATTATCTAGCTGTTGCCCGCGCCTCCATTATCCAAGATCTTAAATCTTTATTTATCATATGTTTAATCTTTATTAGAAAATAATGACAGCTGGTCCCATTAGGAGCAAATGGGGAATTTACACAGCTCTGGGGATCCATAACCGAGAGTTGCAAGCTCAGGAATACCTGCAAGAGCAGGAGCAACAAGGTATTTTATCAGCAGCCATAGGAGAGAGCACAATCAATATGCAGCATCATGTTAGAGTGGATATGGATATGGGATAGCCATCGTCCTCTGGCTTTGTATCTGTGTTTGCCTACTAAACTGGAAGCTGTGATCAATATGCAGCAAGTCCTGAGGAATCAGACCTAGTGTTAAGGTTAAGCTGATTGATTTTACTAGCCTAACCTGGTGGCTGCCTTGTAGTCGCCACCAAGAGTGCAGAGCTCTGCAGTCTTTGAAACCGACAAAATGTACCAATGGTACATGTTGAAAAAATATTCTTTGGGTTAAAAGCTGTTTGTTTGTAGATGATTGTTATGCTAAATGAAGAGGTTGATTTCCTATTATGGGGGAATGACCCACTGGTGTATCTGCTGCAGGCCCTTCTACATGGGCTAAATCATGTGACTGCCATCACACACCACAGTGAAAGAATACCAAAAGCAACAAAGAGGAGCAGATATGTGGCAGAATATCAAGGTTATTAAAACATTATGAGCTCATTTAGACTTTTTCTCTTTCTTCCCCCTCAAAAACCTGGATAATAAATGAACATGTTTAAAGGCGGGTGCCTAATTATTATTTGGAAACTGTATTAGATTTATTTGATTTACATCAACTGTCCAAATACTTTTTCCAGCGCTGTGCTTCATGTGTCCTAAAATAAAGAAATTCTCCAGAGGAAAACTCCCATGTTGCATATGATTTGTTGCTCCAACTCTGCCCTTTTTCTGCACCTTTGAAAAAACAAGTCTGCAAACATCATGCCTTATACACCTTTTTTTGTGGATGTCCAGAAAAGTCCCTCCATTCATTTTCCATACTGTCTTCGTTCTTTTTATTTCACTGGAGCCAGAGTCTGAGTCAGGCCGGGAGTAAAGGCCACCAGTAGGTCCAGAGAGACACAATCCATTGGAAATGGCCATCATAGCACTTATTCATACATGCAGGATTTTAGACTGTAGGGTAAGGAAAAAAAACCCTCGCAGGCCCAGAGAGTGTGCAGACACACACCAGACAGTAAATCCACAGTACCTGGTATCTCCAAGCAAATGAAGAATGGCTTTTTTGGAGTAAGGGATTCCATGCACATCCACTGCTGGGTAAGGAAGATAAACCACATAGCATTAGTCAGGGATGACAAAAAAGAAAGGAGAAAAAAACACTTCTAAATCCGTCAGCATTGATCTTTATGTGTGGTTACTGATCTGGGCTGTGGGCAGGAGTGAGTGTGGAACAGTTTTATGACAGGTTATGGTCTCTGAGATTGTCTTGGTTCAATTTAGAAGCGTGTATCCAACATCAGAAATGTAATTTAGTCATTTATTTCTTGATGGTCAGTACTTTCTTAATACTAACAACATACTACCATTACCTAAAGAGTGGGAAACTGACCATCATTCACTTGCATTAACTGCAAACCATTATACATTTATATGTATTAGTCTGCATCTGAAGAGCACCAATGCTACCATCATGTACCTGCGATTGTATGTTAGGCTTTTGTACGATTTAGAATCGGATAAATAAGTACTAAATTATTAATACTGCATTCTACAGGATACTTTTCTGATAAGTAGAGAAATGAAAACCCTTCTGGGTTAAAGGTCACAACAGTTAGAGGCCTCACACTCCCTTTTTTGGGTTTGTTACTAGTTGCCCTTTTCAAATTGACATCTCCGTATGAGTAACTGCAACATACTGTTCTTTTATGGCATTCTACAGTTTTCGATCTTTGAGATCTGGAAACAGGAGAAAAACACTAAAAGTCACTTGGGAAACAAATCAACATTTTATTACATTTTCTTTCTTAGGCCAAAGCAAAATAACCACATTATCAAGCAGTTGTCCGGCACCAAAAATCTCACAATTCTGAGAGAATAATTGGCCAAACACAGATAGACTGTAAGCAGAGAACATAGGAGGTCACCGGTTATTTGCTTTGCTTGGCTTTCTTTTGATTTCCCCTCCAAACAACACAGACATCTGCAGGACAATGCCGGAGTATTTTATATAGACTGGAAGGCCAGGACTCTGGGTGGGACCGATGTCTCATGAGCAAATGACTTAACCATCCCTCTTTCAGTTCAGCCACAGCCCTGTAACTCCAGGGATGTGTGCTACATAAATCAAATCGAGGAGCTGCAGCGTGTTTTCATAATACAGTCTACATAAAGGCACTGTTAAGCGGATAATTGACTACTCTGTCAAACCGTATAGGGGTCAAATCTCTCCCTCTTTGCAGGGAAAAGACGCAGGAGAGGAGAGCCAGCACTTTACCTGCTGCAAAAATGATCTAGTGCACAACACTGGAAGGCAGTGTCACTCCAATATAAGATTGGTGCTTGGAAGTAGCCTCCTGGCAGTGAGCAGCAGAACCCTCCTGCAGCCATTCAACATGAGCAATGCAGCATTATCCACGGATTACTTTCTCCCCATTATTTTCAAACCTCTCACTGACTCAGACTGTACAGACGTATGCGTGTGTGTCTGACACGGTTGCGATGGGGGGAAAGGAATCAAGACATAAATATCACCTGGGTGCTCATCACACTGTGGAAATGTCAGCACTGAAAGAAGTGGTGAAACAGAGGCTGCGGTAGGACTAGACAAGGGAAGTTTCCCTCTCATCTGGTCCTGGGAAAGGACGAATGAGTCATGTTGAGGAGCACCACAATACGAAATGGCTTTTTCCTTCCCCTCCCACTCCGAGGGGTCAGCCGAGGTGGTGCGTCTTTCACCCGGGTCAGGTGCATGGAAATCCTCCACAAGTCACTGCTGGGCAAGAATTGCTGTGTTTGAATTCAATTTTCGAGGCAAGGCAGTCATTTCAGGGCCGAGCGAAAGGCCGGTGGATTTGGCGGCGCCATTCATTACAAGTGCATGAACTCCTCACTCTACAATTGCCCATGGAGTGCTTCCAGCCTGGTGGTGAAGCATGAGAGGGACTGAAAGTTCCCTGAGGTATAGAAAATTACAGAGTACAGCTCAGCTTGACCATCTCACTGAAGAGAGAAACGGGGAAAGAACAGAAGCTTTTCAGGACGAGTAAAATAAGATACAATATGATCCATAAAACCGTCACCTGAGCATTAACCTCAGGTAATCAGCATGGTTTATTTCCTTTTGGTCTCCAGCAAAAGCATGTGGATGACATGTTTGCATTGGTTGCGTGGAACAGTTCAAAAAGTCTCTGCTCTGACAGCCTGTCGAGATAGAAGGTTATGAGCCTGTTTGCTAATTTGTTTATCTCAGTTGTTGGGGTGATGTTGTATAAAACATACATGGAATCATAGCATTCCTGTAGGAACCAGTGGATGGGTGCATTACATATGAACATTAATTGGAAATAGAATCCAAAGCTGGCTATTTAATAGTCAGGGGAGTCGAATGTATCCAAAAATATCTCAGTTGTGAAATGTACATATCGTTTCTGCATCTTGTCCTGACCCTCTTTTGATGGAAAGTTTGTTATTCAGGATAGATCATTCAAGGCATAACATCTTCATCATAAAAAAAGGAGTTAAGCTTGCCTCATTACAAATAACATTCTTGTGTAGTACAAATAGTCAGCCAGTCCATGTCCTTCACATTTCTACATTGCATTTTATATGCTTTCTAAACAGAAAACAACATGACACATTGAAGTGAAAAAAAAGCAGCCAGCTTGCTTCAAGCTGTCTCCTGACAGCTAACTTAGAACTAAAATGTCACACATCAGCTCTCACTGCAAAGCTGTGCAGATCACCTATCCGTCTGTGAAAAGAAGTATTTAAAGGAATATACAGCGGGTTTACCAGTGAGTCACATTAAGAAGCCAACTGGGAAGACACATGACGTTTTGGCATTATTGGAAGGCACGCTATTTCTGTTCTGGCCTGTGTAGGCTGGCAGCTAATTCATAATAAAAAAAACTGTACATAGACTTGTAGATTAAGTCCCTCTATATTACCCACAACACAAGGCACAACACATTCAAATGGCAAATTATTGTCTACCCTAAACTGAATCGAATGCCTATGTTAAATCTAACTTGGATATATCTGGAACAAGCTTTGCTCACAAAGTTCAAAGCCCTGGGGTGTCTTGGGGATCAGTGCAAAAGAAAAAAAAAGAAGACAACTGTTATATCCTGACCCAAACTAAACTGCAGTGCCCCTAAGTGCATGTCAGTAAAAGAGAAATAACTATAGCATATAACAATAGAATGTAATCTGTTAATATCCAACACTGGAGTTGACACACATGGCTAAAATTCTACCAGGTTTTGGCTCCTTTTGGGGGCTAAGAGGAAGCTGCATCTCCAACAAAAAGCATGCAGAACTTACACTGACCACTGGCCACTGTCCTGCAAGTTTTTAGAGGTATGGCTGCTTCAAAACACCTGATTCACATCAATGTGCCATCACCAGGCCTGTGCGAAGCTCAACAATGTCCAGAAGAGATCCAGTTTAATCAGAATCAGCTGTGCAGAGGCAGGAAAATGTTGAAAACCTGCAGGCCGGTGGCCCTCGAGGACCAGAGTTCGTACCCAGGGCTAAAGGACAGAGTCTTGGCTCTCTGCCATTTCTACTGATGTCCACAGCCAAGTGCGCTCTCAGGGACTAAGAAAAATCCTCACGTCGCAGACAAAAGGTCCAAATGTGGAACTAATCGCTATGGATACGACAACAAAGATGAGATAGATAAGCAGCGCCCCAGATTTGGGATCTCTATTCTTTAAGGTAGCGACCGTTTACATGTGCTGTCACTGCATTCACTGAACACTTCAAAAATTCAGAAAACATTTCCAAAGGTTAAAATATGTACCTTGGAGTTGCTGTAAACCAACCAGCTTTGCTGTTTTCTTTGGGCCCTCTCTCCTCATTCGTCATACTTTTGTCAGCGACCACAAATGGAGTCATTCAAAACTTGTGTTTATAATCCGTAACAGCTATTCCACCTGTATCATCCTGGACAGGGGAAGGTGTGAATGAAAAGCTGGAATTGGCCAGAGAAACTTAGTCTGAGATCCAAACCCCAAATGGTTGGTTTTTATGGGTTTTTTGTGGGCTTTCGACGCCATCTTTTTGGCCTCTTCAACGTGAAAACAAATTGTGTATGGCTGTGTGTGTGCAGGGCTAACACAGAGTTGTTTTTCCTGACAGTTATGCTGCATCCCATAATTGTGGGCTCAAAGACGAATTGGTAGCTAAAAATGCCTGATGTCACTTTAATTTAGCAAATAAAGCATCTTCTTCTTCTTTTTCTGAAACTGACACAGCCTCCCCTTAAATCCACCTCTGGGCCACAACTTTTTTGTCTTGGCTAGGTTTACACATGCATTACTGTGATTTTAACAAAATCAAAATACATATCTCAAAGGAAGTTTTTCTTTTCATCCACCAAAAAAAAAGAATGAGACTCAGACATATTAAAATGTGCATTTTGTTTGATATTTCCTGCTTTTATGCAGTTTGGTTTTGTATTTCATTTCGAGCCCGATATGAATGTTTAGACTCACAAAGGATTGGATGTTTTAAAATTCATATTTTCAAATGTTATCTTGTTTATGCAAGATGCCTCATGGTGAAGATTAAAGTGAGTTCTTTTTTAAACACAAAAGAAGGAATCAGAGTCAAACAGACACTTTTATTAAAGAGGGTGTAGGCATGTGTTATATTACCAATGAGAAAACCCACACCCTGACTCTTTGGTAACATAACAGAAACCGATTTACCTCATATTGGTTCCTGTGTCCGTCCCATTTTCACTCTTTTGCTCTTTCAGGCTCTACCTGCTGCAGTACCTCTGTTTCAATAGACATATTATCCCTCTAATCTCAGTGGTGGCTTTCTTTTTATCGTGGCTTGATTCGTTATGTGGTAGATGGGAAATAATTTTGCATCCTGCTGCCAGGTCACTCTTTCAACTGCAAGACAACTGCTGCTGTTGCTGTTTGGGGGGAGGGGGGACGACGAGAAAAACAAGAGTTCCTCTAAACTCTCAGTCTCCTCTCATTTATTTCTCTTTTGTTCTGGCTGCTCTCATCCTCTGGCTTTCCTCTCAGTTGTTCACAGCTGGCCAAGTAAAGGCATTAATCAAAGGCGGTGTTCCAGTGGCTGAGTGTTCACACTGGATGATGTCGGTGGACATTGAGCCCTCTGGCTCTCAGTGGCTCTGGCTTTTCAGCTGCTGCTGCTGGTGTTTGGCTGAGGCCTGTAGAAGGGAAGAAAAGGTTGTTAAAAAGTCTGGGAAGGTTTTAAAAAAAAAAGAAAAGAAAAATCTCCTAAAGTTTTGTCTGAGCTTTGCCCGGCCAGTCACGCCTGCAGTAAAAAAAAAAAAAAAAAACGGAGCCAGGCAGAAATAAGATTGACCCTTACAGGACAGTGGAGGACATTCACTGTCCTCTAGAGGCACCCCCCACCCTCTCTTTTCTCCTAACAAAGCATTATCTGGTGACAGAGGCGTCCTGAGGCTCCACTACTTGTGCTGTGATGGATGGTCCTTAGAAATCCGTAGTGGCCACCGTGATTGGCTAATGCTGATAAAACTCTAAATGGCTTCAGTGGGTCTCTCATTGCCCACAATCCCCTGAAGACCCAACCATACTGCGGCTTCCTCTTTGGTTCTCTGCTGAAAATTGAAACCAAACCAATGTTCCTTTTTTCCCTGGTCTTGACCTTTATACCCCTTCAAGTTTTTCTTTTTTAACCCCCGCCCAAGAAAAGTTGAAGCAAAAGCTAGACAAGGCGAATTAAGGGCCATCACAGAAGCGATCGCAGTGTCCAGATCGCAGTGATTGACTCGCCCCCTGCCGTTATCACCGAGTAAGAGGGACGCTGACTCACAATGAGGCACTACACTTTTCTTTCCTCAGTCCTAATCCCCGCTTCTCCCATTCATCCCGTCACCAAATGCCGGTTGCTCCCTAACTTTTAGATAGCTCTTATCAACAGGGCCCCATCCCGGTGATTTATGTCACCGGCTGACTCGGCTTTTACTGCAATTTTCCGCCGCCTCATCCTACCGGAGATAGTGGGGAAAAAGCAGGTATTTGGTGGCCGGCAAGATAGCGTCTAAGTGTCTGGGCCTAGGCTGCGCGATAAGAGGGGTTACCGTTACGTGTGAGGCGACGCCGAAAGGCTTTGTGTCTTGTTGGGTCACTGACGGCGGGCATCTCTCTGATACTGACACGCGGATACGCCGCCAGGTTTGAAGCGCTGAAACTAATGCGATTCTGCGCCTCGGTGCCCAGAGTGCTGGTTGTGAAACCTGAGAGGAGATGATGCTGGAGGAGCAGGATGTGCGGAGGTGGCGTGATTATTAATCATGACAGATTGATGTTGAGGGACTGTAATCTTTTCCGAGAGTTGAAGGCCACCAACAGGCGGCGAGAACTCCAGAGTCACATTATCCAACGTTATGCAGCGGGGTTTGTAGCCAAGAAAATTGCGCGTACATGTCTCTACAGCCCTGATGGTTTCCATGAAAGCATGGGCTTGCTTTCATGAGGGTACTGCAGCTGTCTTTTCTGTGGCTTCGGCATTATTTAATGAAATCCAGACAGCCATTCAGTTCTTCCTCTCTCTTTGCCTTTGTCTCTCATTCGCAAAAGTCTAATCTCTTTTGAAGCAAAAGAGGTGCCACTTAGTCAAATTTTCAGAGTGATTCGGGGAGATTTTGAGTGATTTTTAGCACGAGACGCGCAAGCTCGTTGCTTCTTGGTGGCTGTGGAGGAATGCCGTGTTTCAGCCGTTATCGTTTGCTGGTAAGGGAGAAGAGATTTCCTTATATTTCTAACTGAGAAATGGCACAAGACTGACAAAGGCTGTGTAGCTTTGCACTCGGCAACGCATGGCTGCAGTGGCCTCTGACACAGGACGCTGCCATCCTTTCCCTCTGCCTCTCTCTGTGACCCCACAAACACACACACACACACACACACACCCACACACACGTGAACACTCTAAAAGCCACTGCACTCCATATATTAATCTTGCCACCCTGCTAACTCAATTGTCCCTTTCTGACTGAACTCAGCTCTCTGGTCTTTGTGTGTGCGTACGAGTGCGCGCGTGTGTGTGTATCAAAGAGCAACAATTCTTGACTCTGCAGAAAATCGCCAGAATAATTCAAATCATCCCTGCGCTCGTGGTGATAAACTTTCTTCCAGATAATTACAAATATGTGAAAGGATTAGTGGGGGGCAATTATTATTATCACTGGCAAATTTATGATTAGTGTCACCAAGTGTTGTGTGTGGAAATAGCAGCCGAAGCCTGAATTAATTAGAGATGTTTGTTTACTGTGAAAGCGGAATGAAGACCAAGCACTCCTCGTGGCCCTAACCTTGAGGCTCCGAGAAATGCACGGCTTTGCTCTTCTAGAGTTTTATTCATCCTCTGAGTGGAGAACTGAGAGGTCTCGTGGGGGAATATCTTCTAAAGCAAATACGGGACTGCTAGCTCTGCTTCGCGCTGCCGTGGAAATCCTAAACTCAAGAGGAATCGCTAATAACTTTCCGCTTTGATGTTAGTGGTGTCGAGGTGATGATTCGAATGCGGTGGACCGGTCCCCGCCGAGAAAGGAAATATGCAGCCGCGCTCACTTCCTCGCTCATAATGGGGCTTTTGGTACTTCTGCTCGCCTCGTCAGACGTGCATCTTAAAGCCGTTTTTCTCATCAGATGTGGCCAGTGACAGCGAGCGAGGCATTGTAACGGCACGCTTGTTTTTTAGTCCACCTGGACACTACATGAACTCTGGTTCTGCAAACGTGCAAGCTTCTACAGGCCAAAAAAAATAGCGGATTGTAGATTATCAGTTGCAAAAATCGACTCACACCCAGAGAGCTGCTGCCTTTCATCTTCATTTACTTCATATACACTTCAGTACAAATCTCAGATAAATTCCATGGGGTGTGTTGGACTTACAGGCTTGGTGCAGCACATGTTTTCCTTACTTTGAGCTATTCTGACTCTTTACAAAAAAAAAAGCAGTAGGGCACACAGCAGCATTTTTTTATCAATAAACCCTTAAAGCTGGATTTTCCTACAAACGAACAATGTCGTCCAAAGTTCACCTTCTAAAAATGATTATGTGCCCATGGTTAGCATGACTTGACACTTAAAAAAGGCCATATTCAAAAGCTTGTAGCAGTTATGACAAAGTGGAGGGCGGCTTTACGCCACAAAATGTTTCACAGGAGTTTCATCAGCTGTTCTTCTGCAACTTTTCAACTTTCAGAATCAGAATCAGAATCAGAAATACTTTAATAATCCCAGAGGGAAATTATTTTTGTTACAGGCTCCATAAGCAAAACAAAGGCATATACATATGTACATGTCTATACATATATATATACAAAATTCCTCATAAATATAGCTAGATATATACATAAAAAACAATATGTGTATATGTAGGTCAAAATGAGAGGTGGATAGTGTCAATGATTAAGATTGACTCTCAGAGGGAGGCGTTGTACAGATTGATGACCACCGGCAAGAAGGATTTCCGGTGGCGTGATCTTTGCTGTGACTATTGGTCTAGCTCATTCATAAAACTACCTATTAAGCTTTATGTGTTGACCGCTTGCCTCCACAAAACAACGCAAAATAAAAAACATTGTCATCTTTTTTTTAAACGATTTCTTCATCCTCATTGTGATCCTTCTGTGTTTCAGATATGAGGATGCATTACCTGAGCAACCATTCTTTGTGTTCTGCTTTGAACGGGAAAAGATCTGCTCCTTTCCTCTGGCAAAGGATGGTTTGTGCCATTTGGTCCTAAAGAGGAGAGGAGAGTTCATTCACTCAGATAATACTTTTGTTCCATTGGATGTAGACTCTTAGATCTTAATCCTCTGCTTTATAAATCTCTTTTGTTGCCATGTGTCCTCAGCTGTTCGTGCCGTTGACCACAGCTAGCTGAAGTGCAAAGAGGTCTAACTTGGTTTGCCGTGTGCTCCAAAGTAAGCCAAGCTTCTGCTTTAAAGACGAACCTGCTACAGTTTGTGTCACTGTATTCGCTTCTTTCGATATTAACTCTGTCTTTGAATACGTTGTTCTGTTGGAGTTTTTTCGTCACTTCTATCGTTGAACCTTGTTGGTACGTCATTGTTTTTTCTGTGCTCATATCTGGTGTTCAGCTACGTTTTGCAGTCGTTCCATGTTCTGTGTTGGTGAGACTCCCTGTTTTATTTTGCATAAGCCTGTTCCTTTGTTCACTCTCATCTGGTCCCTGCTCTATGTGAACTGTGATGTGATGTAATGTGGATTTTTTGTCTATTCTGCTGTATCAGCACTTTTGGTAAAAAAAAAAAAAAATGTGTCCTGCTCTTCAACTTAATTTTGTGAAAAATAAATTGAAAACACATTTAATTCAGGGGTCATTAATAAGGAGCTATGTTAGCCAGTCAAAGTTGGTTTTCCCAGATATAACAGATGAAAAACCCTCATATAGTAAAGAGGCCAAAGGGGGGAATTGTGCTATACCATGTTGACTTGATTCATTGCTTGTCTTAACCTAAAATCTTCTTCTCATTTTGCTGTTCTGCTTTTGCTTACACGTACATAGTCGAGCACCATGCTTTCATACGCACACAATACTGGGAAAGTCATGATTAAGAACTGTAAGCCATTGAAGAAAGCTAAATCCGTGGCCAAGTTCCCATCTCCATTTTAGTGGTCAGATATAAAAAAAAGAACCCCCCCGAGTCTTCAGAAGAAATAAGAATATGGTTTAAAAGGATTCAAATGCCACAGCTCAGCATAAAGCCAATTACGTTGGCTCCGACATGACAAACTGAAAAATTGAGCTCATCCTGTCTTTTATGAGGTACAATAACCATAAAGTAATTATTACGTTATGCTTGCAAACTCAATGGCATCATGAGGAGGAAATCAAATGCAGATAGCGCTGGCTGCTTATTTCCCGTCGGCTCTGTGTGACAAGATGTAAAAGAAGCAATTTAGCATGCAGGCGCATTGTAGACCAAAGTGTGAAGTTAAGGTCCCGTATGACTTTTGGGTCAGAATGACCAGACATGCTCAGAGTTTTAGATTTCATCCTCAACGGGCCATGCTTTACCTGGCAGATTAACACAACTGTGGAGAAACAATCTCAGAAATAAGGATTAACAGCTCTAACCTCTGCAACCATGTCTCAATGTGATACACGGTTTTATATGGAAAAGCTGCAAGATCAGCCACAGATTTTAGCTCTTCACATTCGGCATAAAGACACTTGAAAATCATATTTTGAAAAACAATGTGACAATATAATTTCCTTTTTGGAAAGATATGGATCACTAGTATGTATTTACCCATTCAGTTTTATTCACTTCAATAAATTGCCTTGTGTCTGCAGTAAAGAAAAGACAAAAAATATTTTTTCCTTTTTTGCTTCTTGGTAACCAAAGTGAAAATGAGCTACCATCACTCCTTTTACTTTTCAACAACTTGGACTGCTCTCTAAGAAAATAAATTGCCTATCTTTTGCAAATAGTTTGTTCATACACCATGTGTATTTATTTTTCCAATTTTGCAAAAATAAATCTGTAACTGAACTTTTTTTTTTTTCCACTCCAGAAACAGCGCCTTTCTATTATGTTATTCTATCAAATATAATTGAGCCGCTACTGTGACTTGGCTGGAGTCCAGATTTTGCACAGAGGGAGGGGCTGCACATATGTGTGGTGGTTAGCACTGTCACCTCAAAGGAGGAAGCTTCCCAGTTTGAATCTTTCTGAGCCTTTTTGTGTGAAGTTTGCATGTTCTCCAGATGTTTGCTTGGGTTCTCTCTGGGTACTAATTAACTGATTAATTGGAAACTCTAAAATGTACATTAGGAGAGAGTGGACCACAAGGCAATACATTGTTTTCCATCTCATGTGTCTCTATGTGGGCCATTATTGGAATGGTGCGCCTCTCACCCAATGACAGCTGGAATAGGCTCGAGCCCCCTAAGGAGGGATGGATGGATGGACTTTAACTGGCCTTAATAAGGAAGGGCACCTTTTTGTCCATAAATAAGCTCACAGTTGATGGTGTTTGTCAGAGAAAAAACCCAATGCATAAAGTTAAAAAGAACAATTTGTGTACACACTCTGCCAAAAATAGGAGTACAAATATGTCTCCTGAGGTAGTTTCCTGACTTATGGACCCTATACTGCAAATAAAAATACCCCAAGGCAGGTAATACTTCTTTTAGAGGCCCTACAATGTACACTTCTGTTCCGTATTTGTAAATACACAAATTACAAGGCCACAACAGAAGGAGCTTTTAGGGTACCACCCCAGCAACTCTCTGATTTGTAGCCATTCTGGACTTTGAGAGACTGGAAGATGTATGTGGGCTGGGATTCCGTCTGTCTAATCTGGTTAAGCTTGAATAATTCTGTCGACATTACCAGTGGGAGAAACATCCAAAGGAAAGATGTGCCAAGTTTGGAGGATCATTCTCAGAAAAACTCGGGATATCAAATGATGCCAAAGCTGCTTCCAACCACGTACAAGACGAAGGCTCTGAATACTGATGCACATCTGACATTTAAGTCTCATTTGAAACAGCCAAAAAGCTGAAAAAAACTAAAAACAAGCATAACTTTGCTTTGTCAGTGTGCAGATGTGTGTTAAGAATTGTAAAGCTATCATTATTTGATTCACTTTGAGAGGATTGAAAAACATTTTTTATGTTGACAGCGCCCACATTTACATAGTTTTTTTTCTGCAGACAGAAAATTTGATTTAGAATAGAAAATGGGTTATTTGGATTCATAAGTTTTCATCCTCCGTTCACCTTTCTGTGAAGATGTGAGATGTGGCTCTTTCTGCATCGTGAATTCATCTTTAGACTGGACAAATAAAAAGTTTCCGTAATTATACAGGCTGAGAATCCACGCCCTTTCAAGTGAAAGCATGAAGAGCACAAAATAACTATTTGCCCGTCTTTCTCAGACTTGCATGCAAACACTTGGGGATCAACAGCCTCCCAGCAGGCCTGCACAGTGGAAGTTTTCTGTGATTGATGACTCTGACCTATTCAGCAAGTGGGCAGCCGCCTCGGCAACCCAATTACCCCATCGTCGTTACAGCTCTGTCTGGTGGGGCGAAACGCACAGATATGCACTAGATAGCAGCAACAGAGTGTTCCTGGTGACTCTTCTCGGCAAAGCGCATTGTTACAAGTTACATGCTGTAATGTGACCTAACTCAATTCAGACAATTCCGCAAAAAAACAACAACTTCCTGTTGAACACAAAGTGTTTTCACAGTAATCCCCCCCTGAGAATTTCACTGTAGAGAAGAAAAAGCAATTTTCTGTCTCTATGGGGCGTGCCATCCATTTTCTGTTTAGTTTACTGTATGCCTTGGTTGTCAGCACTGTGGGATGTTTACAAACGAAGTGATCCGCACCCCTTTGTCTTCGCCGCTTTATCGGAAAAGGGATGGCCGCTTTGGTGCCACTGCATTTGAATACAGTTAAAAGACACAGTGGCAAAAAATTTCTACATGATTACTTTCATTTTTCACGTCCTTCTCTTATCAAACCGAGTCCCAAATTCAGATAAAATTCACCATAATGCACGGTTTGCTACATTTAAGCGCAAAGGATTTACAATGATTGATGTGTTGTGGCTAGAAGGAAATCTATAATCACCACATTTGACTGAATGAGTCAGAAGGTTTTAAAAGTTGCTCTTGCTTGAATGCTGTCTTTGTTTTTGGTAAATATGATGATTGTTTCTCCCTTTCAGTCAGACAATGTTCAGTCTAATCAGTTCAGTTTTCAGCATGTCATTTACAAAGTCTTACGGGGTCAGAGATCTTCGGCATAAGCTCTAGGTTTTGCCTCACAGCTTACCAATGCTTGTGAAATTCATTGCCTTGACTTTTAATGCATTTTGATGCATTTTGGAAGAATGAAATGCCCAATACCATCCTAAGTCTGGTCTCTCCTGCAGAAAAAGCAGGTTTTCGTGTGCAGCAGACAGTGGAATAACTTCAAATATTTGCCCTTTATAGTTGCTTGCCTTTGTGTCTCTGGTTATATATTTTTTTCATATGACACACAGTAGGTGCATGCCCTCATCCATTATTGGTGCCTTTAGCTTCCTCCACAACCCACCTCGACAAAATTTACCATTGGAGCAGAGCCTCGGTCCTGTGCTGTTATCAGCCAAAGCAGCTAGCTGCACCTGCTGCTGGAAAAGTGAGCTAGTCTCTTAGTCAGGCCCATTTTCTGAGCGGCTCAGCCCCGTCTGTGCGTGGCCACTGTTTTCTTCCACGCTGCAAAGATAATGGGAGGACAGAAAATGGAAAGGTGTCAGGAGGGTGTATCCGGTCAGTCCGTCGCTATGCTTACGGCATCAAATAACAGTCAAAAAAGCCTCCGCCTCCATTTCCTTCCTTTCCAACACGCAGAAAAAACATACAATCATCATCTATTATTCATTCTACCCATTAAAGCCATCTAAATACATCAAGCAAACTGGTGAAGAAAGTGTGTGCCTATAAGATTGAACTCCAGGGAGGGAAAACAAGCAGGGGGAATTGGTCTGCCATCTCCCGTCTGGCCAGTCATGGATCTCTGACTGCACTCACTAACACACGTGTATGTAAATACAACGCCCTCATGCATACTATTATGACACATGCAATCCCCAAAGCCCATTTTTTGATAGCATGAATTGAATTTGAGAGCTGTCTTATTGCCCAAAAGCTCCTCCATCTGCTGCAGTTTCTTTTAATTTTGGAGTCTCTATCCATCCATCAATAATTCATTCTCTGCACTCATCTCGGCTGAAGAGCTCACTCTCCATGTAGTCCAAGTCCAATTAAACTCCTTGCCATGTGGTAAAAGCACATGGAAAGGAGAGGGATGACGTAGACAGAAAAGGAGCGTGGGGAGCACAAAAGAAGATGGCAAGAAAGAGGAGTGATGGGAGGGCGAGTGACGAGGGGGGTGAGCGCCACAGGGGATCCTGCCTGCTCTTTAAACCAACTCATCACCGGTGAAGCAGTATCAACCAACTCAAATCCGTACGAGGGTTTTCAAGATTTCCCAAAATCACCACTTTCTTCTTTCAGTCAGCTTTAACTCCCTGTTTTATTTTTGGATTAACGCACACCCAGTGCTATTGGTTGCTTTCATTTTCTGGATCATTCCAAATACGACTGGGGCTCAGGTGGAAGAGTGGGTTGCCAATAGTTCAATTTCAGGCCTAATCTTAGAAATTTGTTCTCGGACGAGGCAGCACCCTCCAAGTGTTTTTGTCTAATTCGGCGTTCAACATTTGAGAAGCTTTATCCATTTGGAGGGAAATTGCTGTGCAGCAGTTGCAATACAACAAGTGGGCATGCAATAAAGTCAAAAGATAAAATGGAGCTAACATAAAATGATGCATTAAGTACAGTTTGCCTCTGTGCGCCCCTGGGATGGTGTGACGATATATAGCGGTATAATAATTTATGGATGGGTGGATGGATAATTACCCTGTGAGACCCACAGTTAAAAATAATGCAACTCTGAAAGTAAAAAAAAAAAAAAAAAAAGGCCTGCAAGTGTTTTTTTTATTTTATCCGGACCACATTTTCATGGTTAATGGTTGCCATTGTTTGTCATCACAACGCTATTGGATAGAAAAAGTGTTTATAGCTATGGTCATCTGGCCTTAAACTCACACTACCTTCAAACTTCCCATTGTAAATTTGCAACAGTGCAGGGTAAAGTACAACACAAATAACAAAATTCTGTTAGTAGGTAGACGTTAACTGTAGGTATATATAATGTGCCCTGTCACACCACACCAAAGAAGATAGCAATTGCTATCACCGACTGGTAGAACATCCTCAGCACGATGTTGCATATTTTGAATGGCCGGAGCCTCTTAGAAGAGAACAGAAAGCCTTTATTGTCATTAAATTACTTGCATACAAAGAAATCAGGAGCACTGCTCCAACTGGTGCCACATATATAGATCCATCCCTTTACCTATACTGCTTATTCCCAACAGGGTCACGGGTGCTGGGGCCTATCCATCGCAGGGACACCTATATGCAGTAATCTATCAAATAACAGACACACACAAAAACGCAACAATAAAGAATAGGTTTTAAGTAACCGATTTGAATAAAAATGTACCACAGACAGTCCAATGAGGTAGGATAAAGAGTTCAATAAAGTTTCTACATATGTTACACTTATACTGTACATACAGGTGGAGGATTTATTTTGACTTAGATGATATTTATGGAGAAGAGTCTTCAGGAATAGTTTGAATAAATAGTTTAAATGCTATTTGGTAGTCCAGGATTACGACACAGGATGAGCTCAAAAGGTTTGTGTTTTAGGATTTCTACTGTCAGTGAAGAGCAAAAGTATCCAGAGTCTTTCGTAAAGATGTATGTTTTCTGCTCACTATGGGGGGAAAAAAAGGGCCTGAGTAACATCTACTAGACTGAAAGGGCGCTCTCCTCATTGGAGAGTCATTGTTCTACAGTCTGTGATTACATTTGTTGATTTAATGGTGGACTGTGGGTCTTTTGAAAAGACTGAGCTGAACTGCCGTTGCATAACCTGCAATTAGCGAGAGGCGCATTATCAGTTGGTCAGACTTTACTGCCATCAAAAAGCTTAAATAGGAGGCATAAATGTCTTCTTCTCTGAAAACTTTTGGAGGTCATGGCATTTCATTATCGCAGACTTTTGTGCCGAATGGTTTTTCTGTTATTTTGTGTTCACTGCCAGCGTGAAATAAATGAATTTTTCATGAACCTAAAATGTTTTATAAACCACCATTTAGGGCACTCTGTGCTAAAGAACTATTATAACGAAACAGCAACACTGAGAGTTAGTTACAAGAGACTGTATGTCAGACTGCCTTTGAAATTTAAAAAATATATGTATCTGAGAGTGTCTATGCAAAAGTAAGGCTGGAAAGCTAGAACAATCAAGGTTAACTGAATATGGCATACTTTTAAATTCTGTTACCAAAAAGGTAAGAACCAGTCGGGGGGGAGCTGAGGGGTGTGGCAAGATGAGCATAGCAAACACCCACTGTTCAGCCCTCTGGTCAAAGATACAAAGATGTAGGTCCAGATGGAGAAAAGGACAAATAAATAAATAAATAAATAAACTTCAAGCTGAGCAGGGCATGTCTACTGTTAATCTTTGATCTTTAAATGAAAAAATTCTCATTGGTCAGCCACCGAATAAAGAGCCAAACAAATTAACATTTTCTACTTGACACGATTTGGGTTTTGTTTTTAAATAGTTTTGAAATCTCTTATGCCGACTTGTATCCATGCTGGTTTAAAAACTCTGAACATACATATTCCACGCTTTCTGATGCTCTTCACTAGGTTTTCAAAGTTGTTTTGCCTCCCTATGTTTTCCTGAGCGGAGTGCGATTTTCCTTTTTGGGTTTTAACGGGCTCTGTCCTGCGCCGCTCGGGTCCTCTACTATATGCAACCTTTAAACTATAGTGACCAGCAATTTTCTTGGAAACTGGCAGCACAATTTCTGGGAAAATCCCATGGACCTTGGTGTTTAGAGTGGAACAGAAGTGCTTTGAGACTACTTACACCCTTTGACTTTCCCTGATGGGCATTTTGGATGAGAAATATGAATTGGATGGAAATACTCTTCTATGGGACCTTCTTGGTCCACACTACTCATTTGATGCTGGTGGGACCCCTTTGATCTCTGTGCTTATAGCAACTCATACACCGCTTACTAAGCTTTCTCTGCTCGTGCTTTATTGGTGCTGTAGGTTAAATGGAGAGAGAGAGCACAAACATTATCTGCTGTGCAGTCTGATAGTTCTGCCCCTG